GAGAGGATGTGGAGAAATTGTAACTCTTCTACACTGCTGGTGGGAGTTTAAATTAGTTCAACAATTGTGGAAGACAGTGTGGCAATTTCTCAAGGATCTAAAACCAGAAATACAATTTGGCCCAGCAATCCCATTACTGGGTATACATCCAAAGGATTATAAATCATTCTAGTATAAAGACACATACACACATATGTTTACTGTAGCACTATTCACAATAGCAAAAACTTGGAACCAATCCAAATGCCCATCAATGATAGACTGGATAAAGAAAATGTGGCACATACACACCATGGAATACTATGCAGCTAAAAAAAGGGATAAGTTCATGTCCCTTGCAGAAACATGGATGAAACTGGAAACCATCATTCTCGGGAAACTAACACAGGAACAGAAAACCAAACATTGCATGTTTTCATTCATAAGTGGGTGTTGAACAATGAGAACACATGGACACAGGGAGGGGAACATCACACACTGGGGCCTGTTGTGGGGTGTGGGGATTGGGGAGGGATAGCATTAGCAGAAATACCTAATGTTGATGATGAGTTGATGGGTGCAGCCAATCACCATGGCACATGTATACCTATGTAACAAACCTGCATATTCTGCACATGTATACTAGAATTGAAAGTATATATATATGTGTGTGTGTGTTTGTATATATATGTATGTGTGTGTGTGTGTGTGTAGGATATATATATAAACTTTCAGTATATATATATGTCTGTGTGTCTGTATATATATGTATATATATACATATATGTATGTATATATACATATGTGTGTATATATGTGTATATATGTATATATGTATATATGTGTGTATATATGTATATATGTGTATATATGTATATAAACACACATATATTCTGAAAATTTATTTGTATATGTGTGTGTATATATATATATATACACACATGTATATATACACTGAAAGTTTATATATATATCCTACACACACACACAAACACATATATATACTGAAAGTTTATATATATATATCCTAAAAGTATATATATATATATAAACATCCCCTGTGCTTGACTTATTCATCATGTCTTTTTATGACTTGGTAGCTCATTTCTTTTTATTGCTAATTAATATTCCATTGTATGGAATTAATATTTCATTAATGACATATGATGTAGAGCGTCTTTTCACATACCTATTTGTCATCTGCATATCTTCTTTGGTGAGATGTCAGTTCAGACCTTTTGTCTGTTTTTAAACTAGATTGTTTTCTCACTGTTGAGTTTTAAGAGTTCTTTGTTTTGGATACAAGTCCTTTATTAGATAAGCATTTTACAAACATTTTCTCCCAACCTGTTCCTTGTGTTTTCATTCTCTTAACAGCGTCTTTCTCATAGTAAATGTTTTTAATTTTAGTGAAGTCCAATTTATCAATTTGGATTACTCCTTTAAAAGGTTATGTCAATCTCAAGGTCACCTGGATATTCTCCTATGTTATCTTCTAGTTTTATAGTTTTGAATTTTGTATTGAGGTCCATGATCCATTTTCAGTTAATTTTTTGAAAAGTATAAAGTCTGTGCCTTGGTTCAGTGTTTTACACTTGGATGCTGAGTTTTTTCAGCATCATTTGATGAAAATACCTTTTTGTCTTTTTGTTCTACTTTCTGAAAGCTTTTCTTATCAGCAACAGAAATCTTTTTAAGTAATCTGTTTTGAGTCAGATCAGTTAGAACAACAACAACAACAACAACACAAAACAAACCCCAAACCAAAAAAATACTGTCTTTAACCGTGGGTGGATGAGACATATGCCGTTGGCATTGTCCTTTAACCTCCCAGTGTCAGCTCGCATTTCTGTCTACACCTTGTGGTCATCAGGTGGCCTCGACCCTACTTCCTACTTTGTGGTTGGTCATATTTGCAGGTGTTTTTAAGAAATGAAAATTCCAAGCTGTGGAAAAAATAGTTGACTTAAAATTCAGCCCAGAAATAGGGACTGACTTCCTGACACAGAGAATTACTAAATGGCACAGAAAAAGGGGTTCACAAACTCAGGACGAGTTTAGTGGTTCCAAGCGTTAGCAGCCTGGGTTCAAATTCCAGCTTTGCTACTGACTGGCCATGAGACCATGGATAAGACATGTAAACCTTTCATACTTCAGCTTCCTCATCTCTAATGTCCAGGTAATAATAGAAACTGCTTTCTGCCGGGCACAGTGGCTCACTCCTGTAATCCCAGGATTTTGGGAGGCCAAGGAGTGTGGATCATGAGGTCAGGAGTTCAAGATCAGCCTGGCCAGCTTAGTGAAACCCTGTTTCTACTAAAAATACAAAAATTAACCGGGCATGGTGGTGCATCTGCAGTCCCAGTTACTCAGGAGACTGAGGCAGGAGAATGGCTTGAATTTGGGAGGTGGAGGTTGCAGTGAGCCAAGATCGCACCACTGCACACCAGCCTGGGTGGTAGAGTGAGACTCCATCTCAAAAACAAAAAAACAAACAAAAAAACCCAAAAACCGCTTCCTTGTTTGAAGATTAAATGACTTATTTTATACAAAAGGAATAAAGCAAGCCTAGCACGCAGCAAGAACTGTAAATGTGTATTCTGTTTTCATTACTGCCTGCCTAAGCATGTGAGTTACCAAAAACTCAAAATTAAAACTTCAGTCTCCTTATGCAACTTGTCATCACTCACTCGAAGACAAGCGGGGGCTGCCATCTCAGGAGCAGCTGAGTTATTCTAGGTCTTCCAGCCCTCACCAGCTCTCACATTTCAATGCTAATTTAGAAAGAAGAGGTACCTGCATCAATGATAAATCAAAAGGCTTGTACTGGCTTAGCAAACCATTCCATTTTAATGGTTTTCTGGAATAATCAAGACTCCAATTATACTAGTCCAAGGGACTAGGGATGCTTAGAAAATAACCATTGCATTTTACTGTCCTCAGTAGTGGGCCCAGAGCACTAAATCTATGTACCAGGGCAACCTCAGGTTCTTTTGGGGTAACCTGACCCCACTTGCTTGGCTCTGTTCTATCAATTCAAAACCCACACCACCTCTAGTCCCAGCTCCCAACCTTTAAAAGCATGATGTCACCCATATCCCTGACAATCTCCCCAGGAAAAGACTTTAGTTTTCACAATCAGAATTTTAACTTCTATTGAATTCAGAGACTGACAAGCTCTCAAGGATATCATGTCCAGTCCAGAGTTTTAAGTTGTAAGGTGATAATATTCCTCTTTAGAATGCCACTTAGCAAGTAGAAAAGGTATATTTATTAAGTGATACATTCTGGAAAAAAAAAAATTTTTTTTTTTAGAAATTCTGAAATTTTTTTTTTTTTTTTTGAGTCAGAGTCTCGCTCTGTTGCCCAGGCTGCAGTGCAGTGGCACAATCTTGGCTCACTGCAACCTCCACTTCCCAGGTTCAAGTGATTCTCCTGCCTTAGCCTCCTGAGTAGCTGAGATTACAGGCGTGTGCCACCACATCTGGCTAACTTTTTTTTTTTTTTTTAAGTCGAGACAAGGTTTCACTGTGTTAGCCAGAATAGTCTCAATTTCCTGATCTCATGATCCATCTACCTCAGCTTCCCAGAGTGCTGGGATTACAGACATGAGCCTGGCTGAGATTTTTTTGGTAAAGTTTTCTTAAAAGCTTCTCCTTACCTCTGCTTCTAATACATTTCTTTTATATTCTGGATTTGAAGTATGATTAAAAGGTCTAGGCTTGATTGCCAAAAGAAATACATAGTCAAGTTAGGATATACGAAACAAGACTCTCAGAAATTAATTATGGCTAGCTCTCAGTTCCTGACAGTGAGGTCTCAAAAAAGGGGAAAGTGAGTTAGTCCTTCCAAAAAGCACAGAGGAGAAGATTGAAAAGGTTAGAAAGGTCAAGTCTCTTAGAAGCTTTGTGTGGGAATTCCATCACTTTTATCTTCAGGACCCATGGCAATGATAGCAATGATGATGAAGATGATGATGATGGTGATAATGATGATGATGATGGTGCCTGGTACTTACAAAAAGTCTTTCATCTGTAGACTCAACACAACCACTAATTAATTCCAAAGGCAAGGTAGGCAAATATCATTATCTTCAATTTACAGGCCAGTAATCTAACAGGGAAGAAATGAAGCCCTTTACCCAAGGTAATTTCAGAGTGAATAACATGAATGAAGAGTTTCTGCCTCTTCACTGACCACCGGTTACTTAAAGGTAGCTACAGGAGGGCTTTCTTTTATTCCTTCAGAAGTTGTTTTTGAGCCAGTATTTGTGGATGACATTGTGGGACTACAAAAGATGACAATAAAAAGAAGCACTTGATTAAATGTCAAAATGGAAGGTAAAGGGAAAAATAATTCTGGATGAAAGAGAGAGCTATGGGTCTGAGAAGGCTTCAATCAGAGGGAACTTGAAGGGGGATTCAGAATTTGAATTCAGGGAGAGGAACTATTATGAGAGGCTCTGAGCATCCTTGTGCTCAGGCCCTGAATGTTCCTGCTGGTTTTACCAACAATGCAAGGGCTTTACTGCTTTTCACTTCCCTTTCTTTTCTTTTTTGTTTTTTTAGAGAAGATGGAATTGAACACTTGGGCCCTTTCTCAGGTCATTTGTTGCAAATAACCTTGAGGGAAGAGAGGATATCTCCCTGCAAAAAAGAGCAGGTTTCCTTACCACCCGCTATGAAAGAGGTGGATTCCCCAAACCTAGGTTCTTCTCCTATAATACAACCCACTGCATGACAGTATTCATCTGAGCCCTATGTTGCCCTCTGGGACTTCGAAGCAAGGAAAACAGCTCAAACATAATGCTTGTGTTGCTTCGTAGCTGTAAGTAATAAAGCCCCTTGTCTCTGACCCAGGAGTCTCATGTCGTCTGAACATCCATGATACAGTAACAGGATAACTAATTAGCTTATAAGTAGGATGAAAACAAATCCCATAGCTGGCAGAAATAGGCTGAATAATGTTAGATGCACCTGTGGCACTTATATCCCTGCTGTTATGACACTGAGCACCCTTTATTGTAATTGCTTATTTAATTCCTTTATTCCCCACCAGGTTGGAAGCTATGGGAAGAAAGGGTTACTGCATTTTCTCTGCCTAGAAAAGTGCTTGGCATATAGTAGGTTTTTCTCAAATATTTATAGAAGGAGTGAATAAATGGATATAATCTGTTTAAGAGTACAGAGTAAACCAGTTCCCCAGGAGGAAAGGGTTTTAAAAGGTAGGCAGAGTAACTGCCTTCCTGTGTCGTTGAATGTTCGGCCCTCTCCTCTGGGGCAGAGCAAGCTCCTTGCTATGCTGACCCCTCCCTTCACAGAGTTCAATGAGTGCAGGAAGGAGACAGAGTAAAATGATGCCTCTACCATGGAATGATTTGGGGTGGGGGCTTCGGCATCTTTACCTCACCATGATGTAATGGAGTTTCCCTGCCCCAACATGTTTATTTGAGTGTATGGTCCTGATGTGGATGTTCGTTCAGTTTCCACATCTCACAGGCATTGGTGGAAAGGAAATCAAGGCCCTGCCTTTGGATGTCACCCTTGGTTTCCTGAGATCCACAGGTGTGGATGAGAAACATCTGGCCAGGAAACCCACCTTCCAGAATGCCCAGAGTGAAGACAATCAAGCAGAAAAGAGGATGGCTCCTCAGCGTTACTCTGGTCAGTGATAAATTCTCAGGGTTTGTGGAGCAATTAATTGCTTCATGCACCTGCTGGACCAAGGCTCTTCAGAATGAGGGAGGTCACATCTCCAAATTCTCAACCCTTTTGGAATCCAGGCGCTCACCACCACTGGTGGGGATAACACATCTTCCTCTGAAGGAAGGAACCAATTGTTCTTCGGGGAGAAGAGAACCATGGGACTGACAGGACTTTTCTCCTAGTGAGCAGGTTCTCCATTTGCCTTTTTGAAAGGAGAGGTGGACACAGACCAAAGATATCATGTCCTCTCCTCCACATTTCCTTCTTCCTTCCCTTCATTCTTCTAAGACACAAACAGAAACAGTATATGAGCTATGACCATGAATATCGTATTTACTGGTGATTTTTACTTACAAGACTGTTCCAGGAAGATGGAATATCCTTTTATTCTTTTCAAAGCTGTTCATGGGGGTTGATCTAAAGGAAGAAGCTGAGGCACAAAGTACAATTTTAGAGTTATCTTGAGCCACAGTGAGGACAGCTGCCTGGGAAATAATTACAAGTTGTCTTGCAAAGTGCTTCCTTGTAAGTTTGTTACAAGCAGGGTCTTTTTTTATTGGTTTGTTTTTTGAGACAGGGTCTCACACCATCACCCAGGCTGGAGTGCAGTGGCATGATCATGGCTCACTGCAGCCTTGGCCTGCCGGCCTCAAGCAATCTTCCCAACTCGGCCCCTCAAGTAGCTGGGATTACACGTGCATGCCACCATGCCTGGCTCATTTTAAATTTTTTCATAGAGACAAGGTCTCCCTGTATTTCCCAGGCTGGTCTCAAACTTCCAGTCTCAAGTGATCCTCCTGCCTCAGCCTCTCAAAGCACTCGGATTACAGGTATGAGCCCTGTCACCTGACCACAAGCAGGTTTCTTTTTTTTTTTTTTTTTTTGAGACGGAGTTTCGCTCTTGTTGCCCAGGCTGGAGTGCAATGGCGCGATCTCGGCTCACCGCAACCTCCGCCTCCTGGGTTCAGGCAATTCTCCTGCCTCAGCCTCCTGAGTAGCTGGGATTACAGGCACGCACCACCATGCCCAGCTAATTTTTTTGTGTTTTTAGTAGAGACGGGGTTTCACCATGTTGACCAGGATGGTCTCGATCTCTTGACCTCGTGATCCACCCGCCTCGGCCTCCCAAAGTGCTGGGATTACAGGCTTGAGCCACCGCGCCCGGCCTCCACAAGCAGGTTTCTAAAGGCAAAAGGGAACAAGCAATAGGCTGATACAAAGTTGTTTGACAGGAATTCTCACTGGCTTAAAAAAGTAATATTGATTCGTGATTGGCTCTACCTTGTTGAACTATAGGGTAAGAGTTATGGTGTCTAGCATATGGCATTGTTAGGTTAATGTCTGGCTACTTGGTGTCAGTCAGTCTTGAGCCCACATAGCAAGTGGCTTCAAGAGGTGATTGCTTAGCTCAAGGGGGGAGTGAGACATAATTGCTATCACATTTCAGTACCTCTCTGGGCCTGATAATTTAAAATGGCTCACATTCTTCAGATAACGTTTCTTTTCTTTCTCAACTGGGATTTTGTTTGTTTGTTTGTTTTTAAGTCAGCAAACGTTTATTGAGCCAGTCCAGGGAGTGAGACTAGCAGAGTTGGTGGGTTAAGAACACAGGCTTCTAGTTCAACAGACCTTGATTCAGTCCCATCCTATCTTATCAGCAGTGAGACCTTTGTATCTCCATGGGAGGATATTGGGTGGAGGCCACTGTACTTCTTCCCCCCTTGCCTCTAGCCTCAGCAGCAGCCAGAGAGCCTGTTCTCTAGAAATGCTGCCCGCCACACTTGTTCCTGATGCTGGGATCCCTTTACAGGAAGCATAACCCTTTATTATACTTCAAATTAAACAAATACTCAAATGCCCTGGTGGAAGCAGTTAACACCCACAAGTTAAAACTTGCCTGAAGACAATCTCTGCAGCCAGAAAGAACTTGCAGACACTTAGCAGGGGGTGGGAGCTGACCACCACAGGGAGGAGACACAAGGTTGGAAAAGAGGAATTGAGAGCCTCAGAGTCAATACTCTTTCAACCTGATCTCCCTTCCCTTTCTTATTTTTGAGAGAAAGTTTCAATTCCGGATACAGCTGAGTTCAACGGGAATTATGGGTGATTTGTCTCCCATAATTGTCTCTCCTGCACTTAAACTGTGCTTTAAGTGTAAAACTTAGGTCATTCATTTAAGGCCTGGCAATAATTTGCTAACTATAAGAAAATCATGTGACTTTCTTAGTGAAATGGTATCAGAAGATTTCCAGGAGCCAAAGAGCACCGTATCCAGGTGTAGCTGGAGTCGGGCTGTTTTCTATCAGCGAGTGCCAAAGTCCCTTTAGCTCCAGGTGGTTGCTGCTCCTTTTTTTTTTTTTTTTTTTTTGAGACGGAGTTTCGCTCTTGTGACCCAGGCTGGAGTGCAATGGCGCGATCTCGGCTCACCGCAACCTCCGCCTCCTGGGTTCAAGCAATTCTCCTGCCTCAGCCTCCTGAGTAGCTGGGATTACAGGCACGTGCCACCATGCCCAGCTAAGGTTTTGTATTTTTAGTAGAGACAGGATTTCACCATGTTGACCAGGATGGTCTCGATTTCTCGACCTCGTGATCCGCCCGCCTCAGCCTCCCAAAGTGCTGGGATTACAGGCTTGAGCCACCGCACCCGGCTGGTTGCTGCTCTTTCTAAGGACTGTTGAACTTGGAGCAATCTGATCAAGGCAGGCTTTAGGGTTTCAGGAATGCTGGTGAGCCATGTTTGTGTGTTTAACCCAAAGCTTCCCTGGAGTTGGAGATTGCACTACTTTTCATCCATCATCCACTTGTTGGGCACTCACGTGTTGATGCTGGACACTGTGTTAGACTCCGGAAAGAGTTCTTTTTTTAAAGGAAAAAAATGCTGTTTTTGCCCTGGTAACATGTGCTTGACATAGAGGCCTTTTGTATTTCTGTTCTGATCAAACAGCAACTCTCTCCTGAGGCCACAAATGCTGAAGCTTAGATCTTCTATTTGATAGCACAACAGGGTGACTATAGTCAATAATAAGTTAATTGTACATTTAAAAATAAATAAAAGGGTATAGTTGGAAGGTTTGTAACACAAAGGATAAATGCTTGAGGGGATGGACACCCTATTTTCCATGATGTGATTATTATGCATTGCATGCCTGTACCCAAATATCTCATGTACCCCAAAATATATACACCTACTATGTACCCACAAAAATTAAAAATTAGGAATTTAAAGAATTTGTTACAAGAAAGGAGTCATAAATTAGCCTAAAAGAGCTTGTTTAAAAAAAAAAGAAAAACTTTTTTTTTTTTTTGCAGTCCAATAACATTTTGCCAATACTGCCCTCTGCAGAGCAAAACTAGAATCGCAACTCCGGGCAGTTAAGCAAACTTGCCAACAAACATTGGTTAATTTGAAGAGAAGTGGAAGATTCAGTGGTCTTCAGACTTTTTCTCACTAAAATAATTGTGAATAATCACGTGCCTCCTTGCATGTTTTTTAACTGACGTCGAAATTTGCCTCGTTAGGTTCATAGTTGCAAAGGATGTTCTTTCCCACAAATTTTCTGTGCTTTAAAGAGTTGCAGATTTGAGTGTATCCATTTTAGTTTATGAAAAACATCGTCTGTATCACCTGGTGGGCAAAGTCAGCCCTCCTTGTCAAACCAATCACCTAACTTTGAATTGCTTTCTGACAGAAAAGCAGTTTACTTGACTGCACTAACCACGCTGCTGATAAAGACATAACAGAGACTGAATAACTAGTACAGATTAGGAGATCTAATGGACTCACAGTTCCAACTGGCTGGAGAGGTCTTATAATCATGGCAGTAGGTGAAGGAAGAGAAATGGGACATCTTACATGGCGTCAGGGAAGAGAGAATGAGAGCCAAATGAAAGGAGAAATCCCCTATAAAACTATCATGTCTTGTGAGACTTATTCATTACCATGAGAATACTATGTGGGAACCAGCCCCTACAATTCAATTATCTCTCACTGGCACCCTCCCACAATATGTGGGAATTGTGGAAGCTACAGTTCAAGATGAGATTTGGGTGGAGACATGCCAAACCATATCATCGACCAACTTAAATTCAAAGGAACTGTGCTTTGGAGGACATTATTGCACTATTAAGTTCTAACACTGAGGCAGGTGACTAGACAGAGCTGGTGCAGGCGACCTAGGCATTACCCCTTTAGCAGTGCCTTCCAAGAAAGCAAAAGGAGCTTTACTTTCATGGGACTCTCCTGTCTTTGCTCTGAATTTTGTTATTGTCCAATTGTTTGGTGCAAGTTCTTATACACCAGGATAGTGTATTATAATAAGTTTCAGGATGGTAAGAGGTGTATGTCTTTGTTTGTAAACAGAGAGAGGGGAGACTCTGAAAGGTGTAAGTTAAGAGGCAGGGAGGCTGGGTGCCATGGTTCACGCCTGTCATCCCAGCACTTTGGGAGGCTGAGGTGGGTGGATCGCCTGAGGTCAGGAGTTTGATAACAGCCTGGCCAACATAGTGAAAACCCATCTCTACTAAAAATATAAAAAATTAGCTGAGTATGGTGGCCTATGCCTGTAATCCCAGCTACTTGGGAGGCTGAGGCAGGAGAATCATTTGAACCCCAGTGACAGAGGTTGTAATGAGCCAAGATCATGCCATTGCACTCCAGCCTGGGCAACAAGAGCAAGACTCTGTCCCAAAACAAAAAAGAGACAAGGGAGCAGCCCACTGAGCTACACCAGGAACTTCCCTGACAATCAGTTTTAAGGAGGACATGCAGAAGTTGAGGATGTGAAACACACATCCTATCTTAGGGGTGACATCCTAAAGTTTGTGGACAACTGGCCTAATTCACTGGAAGAGGAGCACAACTCCTCTGGGCCAGGCTCTGGCCACAGACCAGGGTGCAAGAGGTCATTCATGTTCAGGTAGTTCTTATCTTTCCACTCTTGCTTTGTCTTTAACAGCTTTCCTTCGGGGTCACTTAGAAGGTATGACTATAACATGCCTGTGTCATGCTTTTTAAAGGGTAGTCCTCTTGGAAAATAAATCTGCTTTCTCTAGGTCTGGAAGATGACTTTTGGTCCCCAGGAGCTGTCTAGCAAAAGCTGAATGCCAGTTTATAGCAGCTCTCTGTTCATACAGGTCAAGAGGTTTCCTATCTGGTGGGTGATTGGACAAAGTGTCTAGGGTGTTCGAAGATACTTACATCATAGGGCCTGGGCAATAGGGAGATGCTAAGATGATTCACTGTCTGCTGAGGAGCACCTTGAAAGTCAGACCAGGATATTTCAGGTCCTGCACCACCTGACCACAGACTGTTGATAAGAACCTGCTTCACCCCTTGCACCATATCTGACGTGCCTGGACCTCTACCTTTGTCAAAATGGGAATCTTTTTAAAGCTATAATACTATTTCCCAGTTACTCCTTCTTCTTTACTCCTCCAACATTCTGAATTTTTTTTTGAAATTGAGTCCACCTCTGTTGCCCAGGCTTGAGTGCAGTGGCACGATCTTGGCTCATTGCAACCTCTGCCTCCAGGGTTCAAGTGATTCTCCTGCCACAGCCTCCCAAGTAAGTGGCATTACAGGCATATGCCACCACCCCTGGCTAATTTTTTGTATTTTTAGTAAAGACAGGGTTTCACCATGTTGGCCAAGCTTGTCTTATGCTCCTGTCCTCAAGCAATCCACCCACCTCAGCCTCCCAAAGTGCTGGGATTATAGGTGAGAGCCATTGCACCTAGCCAACATTCTGTACTTTTTAAGGGCATGTCTTGTGTTTTGCCTCGTGTTACAATTTTTTAACTATAGGTCTCATGGCCCTTTGAAGAGAGAGAGGCAATTCCATCTTCATACTTCTTAGCTGTCTAGCTTAGCATCTGGTATGGGGCGGGTACTCAGAATTGCTATTCTGTTTCCTCGGATCAAAGCAGGCACCTCTTCTCATCACACGTCTAAAGAACAAGAGGTTGGGTTCTAAAACCTGAGAGCTGCTTCTGGAGCTCCAGCAAAAGACATCTGTGAGGGAGAGGGAATTGTGATTGTGATGAGGGAATTTGTCACGGATGATGACCAAGTGTGGAAAAACTCAAACTGTTTGTCTTCTGCTCTCATGCCACAAGAATCAACACAGAAGACTTCTGTGGCCACATTTGTGGCGATGTATCCCCACCAACAAGCAAGCAATCACTCAGTTCTGGAGGGGACACCAGCTGAGTATCCTCTGGTCCAGTTTGATTCCAACCCATCTACCTGGAGATAATGTCAGATCCCACAGACTGAGGGGTTGGTCCCCAAGATTGCCCCCACCCCTAACTTCTGATGCCAATCACAAGCTCCAGGTTATTTTGCCAGTGTTTCTGACCTACTGGCCACAAACTGGAGTTCTCACAACCCTCTCCTTGGGTTCAGTCAATTTGCTAGAGCGGCTCAGAGAGACACATTTACCTGTTTATGATGAAGAACATGACAAAGGTACTGATAAAGAGATGCATAGGGCAAGGTATGGGGGAAGAGGCATGAAGCTTCCATGACCTCCCCAGGAACACCACCCTTCAGGAACCGCCTTGACTTTAGCTATCTGGAAGCTCTCACAACATTGTCCTTTTGAGTTTTCACAGAGGCTTTATTATGTGGGCATGACTGATAAAACCACTGGCTATTGGTGATCAATTTAAACCTCAGCCCCTCTCGCCTCCCTGGAGGTGGGGGTTGGAGCTGAAAGCCCCATTCTCTAGTCCTGCCTTGGTCTTCCTGGTGACCAGCCCCCACCCTGAAGCTATCTAGGGGCTGCTGACCATCAGTCAGCTCACTGGCACACAGAAAGACATATATCACTGAAGATTCCAAGAATTTTTGGAGTTGTATGTCAGGAAATGGTTAGAAAGACCAAATATACATTTTACAATATCACAATGGCATATCTTTGGATAGCATTTCAAAGGTGCTGCCTGGTGCTTCAAGGTCAGTAGACCTGAGTTCAGTGACGACCTTGTTGTACTGGGCATCCAAGAGAAAACAGGAAGCCGAGCCTGAGTTTATGCATTTTTCCCCTTTCATAGGAGAGACTGTGCTCAAGATCCAGATTCCTTTGATTCCTGTAGCTTTAAAATCATGACAAGTGCCCACAGGTCTTTGGGATTCTTTCCAAACTTCATCAAAGACACAGACACATACTAAAATAACTAGAAATTAAACTTTAACCTAATTCCCAAAGTATACAACTCCCAACTAAATGTGTAGCTTAGATTTAAATAATGGGCTATGTACTATCACTTAATGGGGACAGGATAAACAAGAAGCATTTTGGTGCAAAAGGAATTGCGGTTCTTTCCATTACTTTTAATGGAAAAAACTGTAATTACTTTTTCATCAACCTAGTAGGACAAGGGATGAAAAACTCTACCTAAAGCATATCTAAATTGGCAGGGAGCAAGTTCATTTGGATAGTCATAAATCTGCAAATAAATAGGAGGGTAGTTGGGAGGATTCTGCAGTGTGATGGTTTTCCAAAGCAAACCAACTGAGCTGGACCAAAGAACTGAGAAAACAGAGACTGTGTAAATCCTTTTATTACTCAATGCATAAAGAATTATGACTCTGGAAAAGTGTGGTTTCATTCTGTACTATAAAGATGAAAGTCTTAGCTATGAGGTGGGAAGGCAAATTCTTGAATGGAAATATGCGCTAAGGTGGATGGCACAACATAATGGTTTCTTGCCTGGGAACTTCTTGTCCTAGTTCTGCTGTTAACAGGCTGAGTGATTTTGGCTGAAGATCTGTTCCTTTTTTTCTAGAGAGAGGGTCTTGCTCTGTTGCCCAGGCTAGAGTATGGTGGTGCAGTCTTAGTTCACTGCAGCCTCTACCTCCTTGGCTGAAGCAACTCTCCCAATTCAGCTTCCTGAAAAGCTGGGACTATAAGCGCTCACCACTGCACAGGATAAATTTTTATTTTTATTTTTTCTGAGACCAAGTCTCTGCTTTGTCATGTAGGCTGGAGTGCAGTGGCATGATCTTGGCTCACTGCAACCTCCGTCTCCTGGGTTCAAGCAATTCCTGTGCCTCAGTCTTCCAAGTAGCTGGGATTACATGTGTGTGCCACTATGCCTGGCTAATTTTTATACTTTTTAGTAGGGATGGGGCTTCACCCTGATGGCCAGGCTGGTCTCAAACTCCTGGCCTCAAATGATCTGCCCACCTTGGACTTGCAAAGTGCTGGGATTATAGGCATGAGCTACTATGTCTGGCCAACCTGTTCATTTTGAAACTTAAAAATTGAACATGGGCCAATGAGTCCAGCCAGATAGGAACACTTTGGATTGCTAATTCATTTTATGAAATAGTTGCTCATTCTTTAGGTGCTAAAGTTTAGAGAATTCCTCCATTGCCTCTCACCCAACCTGCCCTTTTCCACTGAGTGCCTACTCTGGGCTCTGCTCACCTGGCACTTGAAAAACCTCTGGGTATTTGGCAGCCAGCATGTTCTCATGGAGACCAGTTCTACTCTGAGAGAGTTTTCCAATCTGGCTGTAAATTGGGGTTAGCAAGGGCAACCTCCATCCTGCTAAGAAACAAAGCCAGCCTTTCACAGAACCAAGAAGCTGGCTCTTTACCGCATGTTTTTTTTTTTTTTTTTCCAACATCCTCTATAAAAAACCCTTTGTGGTGTTCACTGGATGACCTCTCACTGACCTTTCTCTTGTGTTCTAAATGCCATTCTCATGCCAAACTCCGTAAGAGTTTTTGTTTTCCATTTTTTTCTGCATTAGTGGGGTTATCAGACTTAGCAAATAAAAATATAAGATGCTCAGTTAAATTTGAATTTCATATAAATAATGAATAATCTTTAATATA